CTATCCCATCCACCATGGTCCTTCCCTTAATTGAGTCCATCCTCCGTGGTCTGTCCCATAATTAATTGTGGGGCTATTCCATCCACCATGGTTCTTCCCATAATTGATTATGGGCCTATCCCATCCACCATGGTCCTTCCCTTAATTGATTCCATCCCCCGTGGTCCTTCCCACCATTGATTACAGGGTTATCCCATCCTCCGTGGTCCGTCCCATAATTGATTATGGGCCTCTCACATCCACTGTGGTCCATCCATAATTGATTGCGGGGCTGTCCCATCCTCTGTGGTCCTTCCCTTAATTGAGTACGGCCTTTCCCTTCCACCATGGTCCATCCCATATTTCATTACGGGCCTTTCCCTTCCTCCATGGTCCGTCCCATAATTGATTACAGATCTTTCCCATCTACTGTGGTCCTTCCCTCTCCCCGAGTGATGACTCTGTAGGCATAGGCGAGTAGCTGAGACCAGGCATTGGTAGGTCAATATCTGAATAGTGCGATCCCTGAGTGATGATTCTGTGGGCATGGCAAGTAGCTGAGACCAGGCATTGGTGGATCAATATCTGAATAGTGTGATCCCTGAGTGATGACTCTGTAGGCATAGGCGAGTAGCTGAGACCAGGCATTGGTGGGTCAATATCTGAATAGTGCAATCCCCAAGTGATGATTCTGTAGGTGTAGGTGATTTTATAGACATATTGGTGTGAGGTAGATGTGTGATCATTTTCAGAGGGGAGAGATCCTGGGCTGAGGGGGGGGCATGAATAAATTATCATTTTTAGAAGGGAGAGATCCTGGGCTGAGGGGGGGGGCAGTGAATGAATGATCATTTTGTGTTTTCTAATCCTATTTCATAGACATATCTAATAGTAATTACAGTCATTATGTGACCCATTAGCTTGCACATTAGGTGCCAAGAATGCGCCCAAAATTTTCATTTTTTGGCACAGAAAATTGGGTGGTAAGAGGACCCCTAACACCCCTCCACCATGGGAAAATCCCATGTATGTATGGTCCAATGTTGGCTGGTGGTCTTTCCCACACAAAAATTATTTTGATTGTTGGACCATCCCCAACATATTTTATTTTGGACCCTATGCACTTGGGGAAAGACCAACAAACATCGGCCAGACCATCTAAAAAGCACCCCTTAGGTGAAAACCCTTATAGGTATAATATAACCTAAGAGGTACTTGAAATGGGGTGACCAAAGTGACTTTTGATTGTATTTTTTGGTTGTGTCATATTGTTATTTTGACACTTCAATTGTAGTGAAGTTCCAGATAACCATATATATTGGCAGATGCCATGCATTGGCGTGTAAAAGTTATTAAGTCAGGTTACTTCTAGATCTGACCAATCATGGGAATAGTGGTAGTTAGAGTGGACAATTTTGATGTGATTCAGCGTGCGATTCAGGAAACAATTTTGGACACTGAGAATCAAATTTCACGTCGAATTGTGCTGAATCATTGAAGCGCCTCTGGAGGTGCTTCTGTGATTCTGAATCGGATTTCAGACTTGTAAACAGCTGTATTTCTTCTATTTAAAAATACAAATATCTAATTAAATATACTTGTCCTGTGTGCAAGCAGCTGTGAGCACCCTCTCTGCACTAGAGCAGTATGGCACCCAAAGGAAAAGGTATCCAATCTTCACCGAAAGCTTGTAAGAAAGCACCTGTCAAAAAAGTCAAAAAGTGCTGCAAGTGAGTACCAAAGTCAAAGTTGGAAATACCACAGAGGCTGTCGAGAAGGCTGAGAATAAAAAAAATAGTGACAAGGAAGTAGTGTTGCCGCCGGTGTGAGTTGGAATCGAGTTAACATCGACTCGACTCGGAAATTTACGCAACTCGTGGCAACTGCCCCATGCGGTGTAAACATCGAGTTGCACTGCGAGTTGGTGATTGACATATCGAGAAGACTTTCCCATAAGCTTCCCTGGTATCTTATCAATGTTACTGTAAGTCTCTATAATCTTGCCGACTGTAGCTCGAGTATTTCATGCAATCTTGAGCACTTCTCCAGTGCTTTACACCTCGCCGTTATACCTTGTCAATATGTCTGCCCTACTTACTTCGTCGGTCCATAAAAAATCAAAAAATTTCTACTTTTTTACACATGAGTTTTGTACTACCATGTACATGCCCATAAGTCTCGCACTCATTGTTTTCACACATGGCGCTAATCGTGATTAGGATGCGGAACGAGTATATCCACTCTCATACAAAGTCGCCCTCGACATCTTACCCATACAGGCTTCCTCCGTGCCATGCGAGCGAGCCTTCTCATCAAGCAGTTCACAATATTGTAGCCATGATGAGTCATGACTGTAGAAATATATAATTCTGTTTCTGCCAAATATAACTATTTATGCGCCAATAAATTTGACTTGCTAAACCAGAAAGAGATAGATCTGAGCCCGTTGATTGGTGGACTTAATTCCCGAACAACATCCGAACTCGCTAGTTGCACTGGTGTGTAACTCGATACAACTCGAATCGTTTACTTGTTCGAGTTCGCTAGCACCGCATCACACCGCGTCGACTTGCGGCAACACTACAAGGAAGTCTCTGACATTGAGTGCGTGAAATATATCAGAAAACAGATGAAACATAACTCATCTTGAGCTGTCGGTTGGACAGATACTTTGACCTGGTCCCTTGTCAGTGCCGTGACATCTGATGACACCATCTGAAAGGGCTTGTACCCTGAACCAGGTGCAAATGCATCAACTAAAAGTGGAGGAGGTGCAAAGAAAAAAGAACACCACTGGGCACTCTGTAAGGTTCTGTTTGATGGCCATGAGGAGTATGGCAGTGCATTTGAAATCGTACTTGGCAACCCAAAAGAAAAAGCCTTGTGACAAGCATGGGTGCGAAAGATCAAAAACCCAATGCAGACATATGTCATCGTTTGGTTCTGCAATGTTTTAATATTGACCCTTTTGGCAGTTTAGAACGAAAAACACTCACATATGTCAAGGAGATGGGGACAACAGGAGCACTACAATATGGGGTAAGTGCCACTAACTCGGTCATCATTTTCTGTGCTGAGACAACTTTGCCAGCACAAATTAAAGAAGAATTTCTGTGGTTCTTCGAGATGCGAGCTCTTGTGGCTAATTGTCCTAGTTGGATTCCTACAGGTGTTGGTAATGTGAATTCAGCTGCCGACCTTTCAATTCTGTTACCAAATGATGGTCAAGAGTTCTATGAGTCACAGAGCGAGCCTGCAGGATTGTCTGATGTACAGTATAGGACCGGCATTTGAGCCAGCACTGTCATTTGAGCGAAACAGCTACCACACACTCAACATTCATCTACCCATCGAATAGTGCAGACATATCTGGAATACTTGAATCTTGTATACTGTCAAGTAGAAATGAAAAAAAAAATGCATGCATGCTACAGGTCAGAAACATGCCCTCTTTCAGCACCAATCGATGCAGCGAGAAGGAATGATTCAACTATCAATGTCAGAAATACTGCCAAATGAAAGATTTATATCTATAGTACAGTTTCAGTACAACGAAATATATCCAATACACAACAATGTGCTGCCACTGGGATTCCAGACAATGGTCTCAAAATCTGTTATCAAAGTGTTTATCAAGACAAACTAACTCAATTTGGATTTTCATTTCTGGACTCACAAACACTGTCCTGCAGTCACTCTTGGGCCTGCATCTCACACATCTTGGTCATAGTCAGACATCCAAAGTCAGTCACAAGAAAAAAACAACTTACTAAGCAAGAGCAAGAGATTGCCATCACTCAAGCCATCAATGAGTACCATGCCAAGCAGAGAAAAGATGAACCCACAAAAAGCCTCCGTGCCATCTGTTGAGAAGTCCAGGAGAAGTATTGAGCAGAAACTAGGAAGCCAGTGGTTGTTGACCACATGACTGTCTTACATTGACTTGCAGGGAACAGAAGCAGTGCCAAATATATGGCAGAGGAAAGAGCATGGCTAAAACTGGAGGAGGCAGAAAAGGTGGTTGAGTATTGTCTTGAACTCGGATGTCATGGATTTCCAATTGGTCATCGTTGACTCAAGGAACATGTTGGTGCCATTCTACGAGCACGACTTAAGGAAAAGTTCCCAGCTGGAGGGGTGGGCAAGAATTGGACTGACCAGTTTGTTGAGAAACACATGGACAAGCTTGGCAGGTTCTGGACCCGATCTCTTGACACACTGCTCATGGTTGTGCTGTCAATCCTACAACTCATGATCAGTGGTTCACACTACTGGAGGATGCTATGATGAAACTGGGTATAGAAGAAGATTGCATTTGGGCAGCAGATGAGACTGGATTCCAGCCAGGTGGTGGAAACAAGGAGCATGTTTTTGGTCCTTCTGAGGCTAAGATTCAGTACCAACAACAAGACGGAAATCGAGAGAACATCACTGTTATAGTCACAATCTGTGCAGATGGCACCTGAGATACCACCCACTGTCATATACAAGGGTAAAGTGTTTGGAACCCAGTGGCATCACAATAACAATCTGGGAGCATTGTGAGTACTTGCAATCATGCATGTTGTAAAGTTACTCAAATAACGAAGGGTTGCTCACTTGACAAAAGGCTGGATGGATGGAGTCATTGGTCAGCATTGGATGAAGGATTTTGATAAGAAGACCTGTGAAAAGGCCAATGGTCGTCTCCGGCTGCTTCTTGTAGATGGTCACAACTCTCATTATACAGAGGCCTTCCTGTCCTATGCACATCAACAGAACATCCATGTGTTATGTTATCCTGCACACATGACACACATTTACCAGGGGCTTGATGTGGCTGTGTTCGGTACACTCAAACACTGTTGGTCAGAAGAGCGGGACAATTTTGAGTGCACTACTGGACAAAAAACACCAAAAAGCACTTTATCCAGGTGTATCAAAAAGCCCACATCTGAGCTGTAACCCCTACAACTATTAAAGCAACTTTCGAGAGGACTGATGCATGGCCACTGAATCATAAGGTCATTACACATGACATGATGGCCCTGAGCCTCATTACTTCAAACCAAGGGCATCTACCATTGCTGCAGTCCAGTCCAGTACAAGTTCTCGTAGATGCTATTCATCAGTATCAAAATTCACACTCGGTCGAAAATAATGAGACAGATGCCACTGAAGATCCCTTCTGTTCCTCGTCAACTCAAACACCAAATAGCTTCTTCAAGTCACTCACCCACATATCCCCAAATGACGTTGTCGCTGGCCCATCCACCCCTTCCCCACTTGACAACTTCTCTTGCACAGTCGTGAATTCCCTAGCATCAACATCAGCATCTTTCCATGTGTCGAGCAGTCCATTGTGCTCGTCATCACAATTTCCTCACTATGTTCCCATATATATCTCACCTTCCTGTAAACAAAAATCAGAACTTCTTGACTTCGAACCTGAAACACAGAGAGAACAAGTACTTCAGCAGGGACTAGCGGCAGCTCATGAACGAGAGGCTGCACAAAATGCAATCATGAGTAAGATGTAGTCCACAATAATTCTACAGGGGATGTACTGTGACTCGTTACATGGGCAACTTGCAGCACAGGAAGAGTCGAAGAACAACTTGAAAAAATGTGGAAAGTTGATGGGTAATGGCTTACCTTGTTACCTAAGCGGAAATGCTTTCTACATGCGAGTTGTCAACCATGAGAAAGCAGCAGATGAAGAAGCAGCCAAACAAGCTCGAAAAGAGGGGAGAGAACAGTGTGCTGCAGGTTTGGAGGAGTGGAAGAAGGTGGAAGAAGCAAGAAAGCAGTGTAACAGGGAATTAATGGGGACGTATCAAATGGAATTGGAGAGGTGGAAGGAGGAAAAAGAACACGTGAAGATGGAGAAGCATCGGCTTGTGTGGAAAAAGCCGACACAAGGTAAGTTGGAAGCGCCGTTACATAAACCAGTAGTTGTGGAGGGCACTGTAGGTGACGAGCTTGATGTCGGCAAGGATGAGCATGAGAATGCCAGTGATGAGGATGAAGAGGAGTAGGAGATCATTACAGTATGATAATCACTTGACAGTACTCTTACACACTATAATCCATATTAGGGCTGACTCAACTGGTGAAAAAGACAGATAACAAGACATTCTACTGATTCTCGCACCATGCACACATCACTCATTCGATTTCTCTGTAGCGTTGCATTAGCATGGTCATCGTATATCTAAACATAACTGCCAAATCAAAATTTTAATTTACATGTGAATGCGATGGCTGAGAAAATTTACTGGCTCAAATGCTGGTCCTATACTGTAGAGCATGATGGAGAAGACTCTAGTGGTGATGACACAAAACCTTAAAAATGTCAGCATCCAACAAAGGTCAAAGATCCTGCTGATGAAGATTGCAAGCCTGCAAAGAAGTTAAAGGTTGCAACGAGCACTAAACCATCCAAGACAAAATTGTTCCTAGACAGGTATGCTGAAGTGGCTGAGCAGGAAGAGCTGACTGCGCAGAAACAGGCTGATGCACTCATGGCCAAGGCATCACTTGCTGTTGTCAAAGCAAAAGCCAAGGCTCAGATCAAGCTGGAGAAGGAGAGATGTGAGATGGAGAAAGAGAGGAGGAAGACTGAGTATACTTTGAGGAAGCTGGAGCTTGAGCATCAATTTTGCATGGCTCAATTGCCTCGCATCGATCAGGCTGGCCCTTCAACACAAGTACACTATTGAACAAATGATGATGATCCATATGAACTTCCAATTCTCCCACAACCAGAGTACTCCAATGGTGGAAGTTCAACTAGCTATCATAATTACTAGACTTGTGACCGACATTGAGTTCTTTTTGTTTATATTTGAGTAATGCACCTTTCAGCTGCTCCCGAAACCTTTTGGCTGATTTTAAATGTTGCTGCCGTCCATTTTGTGCAACTTCAAAAGAGTTATTTTCTGAGTCCAAAGATGATGAGAGACCTTCCTCAATGAATGGATCATGTGTTGGTGCATTGAAATCACCATCCTCCAGCTCATCTGCCTCGCACATCATTGCAAAGGCATGCAAAGTAATGCAGGCCACAGTCCAGTATGTGGCAATCCGGTGTAGAAACAACAATACAGCGAGGCGTGAACGAGGCTCCTGACTGTATCTGTAAATGTTGTAAGGTGGTGCGTTGCCTAGTCTGCTATACTTGTGACAACAAGTGCGTTCAACCCTAAAGGGGAAGCAAGTGCAGCAAAGATCTAGAAGTATGCACTAAAGTGAAGCATGAGAAAGCACAGGTGCGCACAAGGCGTGGGAATGTGTGCATGTATTGCATGAAGCATGGAAAAGTGCATGCAGGTATGCAGAAATGAGAGAGACTAAGCTTAAGTGATGATATGATGCAAGATAAGAGATGTGAGAGTGTGAGATGTAAAGGAATAGATTTCTACTATGCTCTGCTAGGTAGATAGTGGTAGCCAAAAACTAGTTGGTAAGTTGGTGAGTGTAGAGTAAGTCAGTAATAGTATGTACTGCTGGTGCTTATATATGGCGCCTAAGCACTGTCATGCGGAGCCGAAGTGCTACCGAGTAGGGTATGTAAAGATATATATAAGTAAAGGTCCACAATAAAAATAAAGGTGGAACAATATGCAAATAAGGGAAATGGAAATATACATACACACTAGAGAACTTGGTGGACAGTGGATGGATGTGTCTGGATGGCTGGCACTATAGGGCGCTCAAGCGCGGGAAAGCGAGCACGCATATACATCATGAAGCACAGGAAGTGTGCGAGCATGGCGTGTGTTGTGTTGGAAAGCTGTGCCTCATATAGGGATAGCTGCGGACAGCACACAGAGTGGTGCTGCAAGTTCGTGCAATGAACTCCCTAGTGAAAAGTGCCATATCACACCATGAGAGGCATGAGTCTCTACACCAGTGAGTTGCTTTGTCACGTATTTTGACACAAATACCTTTGAGTGAGTGAAAACACCCCTTCAAGTAGCCAATGACATGTTCCAATCGGATATGAACCATGGAAACATGGTTGTTAAACACCCGATTATCAGGCTCCTCCCATTCTGGCATCTTATAAGATGCAACCACCCAAGTTTGTATCTGGAGCTTTAGAGTTAGTCTACTCAGGCTTCAGTGAATAAAAGCTCTTACTGGGTATGCAGAATCTGCCCAAATAAATTCCCCATCTTCAAGTATGTCATTGTAGTTCTGAGCAATGAATGTCTCTTGCCAAGTGCTCACATCATGAGTGCTCCCAGTATGCCCATAGCTAAAATCAATAATTCGGAGATTTGGGAGTGAGACAATCTATTAAAATCATCAGCTCAAATATACTGAGTCACAGATAAAATATAAATATAAATACAATGAACAATTTGACTTTCGGTCAAAGTAGCTTTCTCCATACCAATGAGGTCAGTCATAAAGAGGAATGAGTGTGCCATCAACTAGGCACCACCTGTTCCTCCATGCATGACAGGAGTGAGCTTCAACCCAGGACTTTGCAAGTTCTTTTTTGTCTGCAGTGGGAAATCAATGTGGGTACAACAATTCAGATGGTGTATCTGAAAAATGTGTTGGGTCTTGCAGAACCTAGCTGCTATTCGACCCTAAAGGGTTTCTGGTCCAGGCTCAAGGCTCAGAGAAGAGGAAATATGATAGAAACTTGCTGATCTCTCAGACTCATAGTAAAAATGCTGAAAAGATGACTTTATTATGTAAGCTAAGGTGCAAACATAACTATAGGTAAAACAGTCTCTGCAAGCCCAGCCAGGAATCAGTCCCTACATCGAACAGTAGACTCATGGAAAGGTGGGCGAAGGACAGCTGTCATGACTCTGCAGGTGATGAGGTGGACAGTTCCCTTGCCAAGCCCAGCCCAATCTGTGACTGCCTGCATGCTGGCTCCATTACATCAGCAAATCCCCAGGTTCCTTTTCATCCCTTAATGTTTCCTTATATGCCTTAATTTGTGTAATAAGACAATTTCAAGAAACTTGTTCACACTTAAAATAAGGAAAATAAGGAGGTCCATCTCTTTAAAAATCTCCTTAAACCTCCTTAGAATAAGGAGGTCATGATTCTCAAGGCAGTTGGATCAAAAAAGGCACTATTATTTGAGACATGGAGCGAGATACAAAAAGTAGGCTAAGGGGAAATAAGGAGATCAACAAGTCAAAGGACAAAAAGGAGCAGATGATATTAAGGCAGCAGGTCCAAAAAACGTCGAAAAATGCATAATAGTGCAAATGGCAGCTGTGCAAATAGATGAGACTGAAGGTAGGGAGGTGGACATATGAGTTCTGTAGTAGGATATCGGTGTCAGATTGAGAAAAGTACAAAGAGATAGAAAAACATTACAGATGCGGATATGTGAGCATGGATTCACAGGAGCTTGAGTGTCACCATCGGCACTGTCGTCCTGACCCCTGCAGCATGCGTGCTTTATGAATGGTTGGGATCACACAACAATCTCCATTCTCATATCCTTGGATAGCATTAAGGTGGGTGGCAAAAACATGCAAGATGAATTCAGACAGAAAGGCTCCAGGTGAGTCCTCATTGTCCAGGTCTTCATACACAAAGTGTGACTCCTCGAGCTGATATTCAGCATATTCCTTTCGTGCCTCAGGAGCCTGGAAGTCATCATTCGAAGTAAAAAACATCACCAGGACACTGATGGCAGTGGAGCCAAAGACTCCCCTCCACTCTGAAATCCTTTGACAAACCTGCTGAAATGTAGTTTACTGACTTGAATACGAAATAATATTTTACTCACCATGTGAAACCCACCACTCCAGCTGTCGGCCTCAAATTCTCCGGGTGCACCATTGTACACTACGCTGAAAATATCATAGCAGATGTCCGAAAGTTTGTCATTGGGGATGGTCCAAGGATAGTTAGAGTTTCTGACCCAGTACATTACTGCTGGGAGGAATTTAGAGCACCATTTTCTGTTCTGAGCATCACTGGGTAAGTGAGTGTTCTTGGGTTTTTCTTTCTTGAGGCTGATCTTCTTTCGTTGGTTGACTGCACTTTCGGTTTTGACAGGCTTCAAGTCATCTGACTCGACAATATCAACTGACATCTGTCAAAGGAATTTGTCAGCTCTCTCGCGCTATGTCAGTAAATTGAAAATTCTGCATACAGAGGTTGTGAGCCGAATTTTCACTGCTTTGTTGGCCTAGTAGATTTGTGGTAAGTGATTCACTAGTTGCGTTATCTGATCCTTATCTTGGTACCAACCTCAGGCAGTTGCTGATCTACCATCTCGACATCATTGTCCACGTCGTCTACTGGATCATCAACATTAGGGCCTTCATCAGCATCTGGATCATCTCAGACTTCGCATTCTTCTTCTTTCCCCTGGATGCATCTTTGGCAGTCTGAAACATATGCACAAGATCCTGCCTTCATTCTAGTATACTACTCATCAAGGTGCGATTTCACTCACTTTTCCAGCCCAATTTGTAACCATTTGCTCGTCAAATGTCTCAGGTTCATCAATATCTTCTGTCCACTCCAAGTTGTTGTTTGAGACTGCTGACAAGACTATTAGCCTCACTCAGAAACACAAGTTAATCCATACCCTGAGCGCTTCGTGTACTTGGTGGCACAGAGGGCTGCAGTTGGGACTTGGACACCACATTTTTTACCCACTTTGTTACTAGTCCAGAGGAGTAGTACAAGCTCAAATTATGGAATGTTAAACTGTACAATTTAAACTATAAACCTTAATCTATAGTACCTAAACAATCATTATCACCTCTCTGCCATTTTTAGTCAAATTGCACTGAATGTTTGGCAAGCATTAGCCAAAGCCTATAGAGAAGGCCAAGGAATAACTACAGGCCATTAAGAAGATATAAGTACAGTGATGAGCCTACCTCTGGCAAAGCCAAACCAAGTCTATGGCTACTCCAAGTGATAGTGAAGATAGTTTGGTACAACCAATATCAAAATCAGCTCCAACCACAAACAACAACAGATAGACCATCATTCATAGCAAGGAAGAGAAGAACATACTCTATAGTAATACCGACATCATTGAAATACCCATATCAAAATCCAAACCTGTAGGACAAGCCATAGCAGTGACAGCAAGTCTAGTGATGCAGACAGTGACATCAAGTCTCTTACTGAAGATGCTGAGGCTGAAATAAGTAAGTATCCCATAAGGCTATTGGTTGTTTTTGTAGAGCACTTGAGCAAAAAGTGAGTTTCACCTATTTATGCCTTTTTTGAGCCCTTTCCTGCCATTGGACATGAGGGTGAATGGAGATACTATGAGTTCTGATGTATTGCAAAAGAATATAGAAAATAAATTTAGCACTTCCTAGACAAAAAGGATGCTAAGTTAACTAGCAACATGCACAAACATGCATGTATCTGCTAGAAAGTTTAGCATCTTGAATTATGCCTCTCATAAACTCACCTGTTCATTAACACTGTTCTGCAAGGAATAACCTCCATCCAATAACTCTGTGACTTGTTGACTGATATGGTCTTCAAACTCATTGTCATTGTCAATGTCTGATGGTAGGATGCCGAACTTGCTGGCAGCAATGGGCCATGTAGCTTTTTTCATCTCGGATCACATTGTTGCACAGTCATCCCATAACTAAAACAATAATTGGTATCAACTATGAGAGACTCTGCCTATGTACAATAATTGCCATGTCACATTTATATATATCCCAGTATCTGTTATCAATGTCAATATCATCTGCTGCAAAATCATTGAGTGTTTCTGTGAGATATTCTATACCTGTCTTCTCAATGAACATATTGCAGCTTGAAGTGGTGCCATCCATGACCAGTCCTAGTTGAGACTTCTTTTTTGAAGCCTCTAGGATGTCTTTCCAAGAGTGGAGATAAAACCCAATGGTTTGAGATGCTGCTTTGTTAGCCAAATGTGACCTTTTGAGTGGGTCTATAACCTTGTCCTCTTCATTGGCTGATGATTCACCTGCTGCTTGTTGATGCAGATTCTTGAATCTATCCAAGTCAGGTGCATGAGGACAATGGTTCTTCATATGATGGTCTTCAAGGATATCATGTATGAAACCAGCATTATTAGGCCTGCCAGTATGATGGTTTTTTCTACCTGGATTGTTAGTTGCTTGGCGGCACTTTGAAGGAGATGAAAGGTCACTATCCATTGATGAAACAGGGCAAGGCCATGATTGAGGCATATTTTTTTCATGTGGGGAGGAAGCATGATAGCATGATCCTGTTTCTTCATGCAGGGAGGGGGTAGAGTAGCATCATCATCATCAGTAGGCTGAGATAAAGAGATTAAACCTGCACATTTCTTTGTAGACATAAAATATATTATAATCTGGATAATGAATGGACATTGGGCTTACTGGAACACTGAGTAGATCAACAAGCTGGAAGTCATATGCTGCCAATGGACATGTACTGACTGTTTTGGCCGTGGAATAGAAGCCACTCTTGATTTTCCTGAGATCAATATACCCGGGACTGATGGCAATGGCCATGTTTGTTGCCTAGAAGTAGAGAAGGATAGTGATTTATTATCAATGTGAATCATATACAGAACCTCAGATGTAGCACAAACTAATCTTCCCACCAATCAGTTCCGATGGGTTCAGAATTTTCCATCATCAGCTGAACCCCAAACCTAATAATGGGTTTGGTCCTTGCAAAATGTTGAACTTCAGACCAAATCTACGGTCCAGTTCAGAAGGGTTCAGGTCCAAACCGAAGTTCCAAACCAGACTCTGGCAGCACTAGTGGTGACAGGAAATAAATGACAAAAGATTGTGAAAAAATAAATAATAAGGAAACAGACAATGTAGAAAAACTGGAGAACAGGAGATGGGAGGACGGGAGATGGGAGACGGGAGACGGGAGACGGGAGACGGGAGACGGGAGACGGGAGACGGGAGACGGGAGACGGGAGACGGGAGACGGGAGACGGGAGACGGGAGACGGGAGACGGGAGACGGGAGACGGGAGACGGGAGACGGGAGACGGGAAAAACAGGACAATCAAATACATTCAATGATACTTTTACATATTTTGGAATTTTATGTCATGTAGTAGATTGTATTTTTACTTTTGTCAAAATCCTGCTCAAAGAACATAGAAATGACTGATCTTATGTACTATGTACTTTTATGTGGTGTGATAGATTGTACTTTTAATTTTTTTGAAATGCTGCTCATAAATGTATTTTCAAAATTATTCGAAATGCACAATTTATTAGGATGAAGCCTGAGGCCAGAAGGGTCAATGCTCATCAAGAGCCTCCAGAATTATTGGGATGAAGCTGAGGCCAGGAAGCTAAAAAAATGCTCTTTTTTTACTTCTTGTGCTGAAGGCAGAATGGGTGTGTGCAGGTGTGTGCTAGTATATTCTTAAATAATCTAACGGTTATGGAGACACACGTGCACTGGGAGTGTCGGTGAAGGATAAATATACAAACTCACACGGTGGGCATTCTGGGGTCCAACGTACATCCAAGCTCAAGGTTCATCAAATGGCGGTGCTTTGCAGTAAATGGTGACTCGGAAACTGATTGCATGTAATACCCCTTGCTGCGTGTTAACCATAAATAGGATGCTGTGGCTAACATTTGACGTGAGGTAACGATCATAAGGGCAAGGGTAAAGTTTCTACGTAAATATATCATCCCCGTCTTGATGTCAGCAACACCACCACCACCGCCCTTGCCACCCTTGCCATCGAACCTGCTACCGACCCCACCACCACCCGTGCCACCCCTTCCAATAGAATATCTAAGGGATCGATCCAAGTCACCTTTACCTGCACCTCGTCCACATCATCCATATAACGTGCGTGATTTATCTTTATTACTCATCCTCAAGTTCACCGTTTCTATTACATACTAGATGGTTAGATTGGACAATGCCGTGTCTACTTATGGTTCTCCTCAAAACTTCCATCAACCTCCATCTAACCCAGGCTTTGCTCCACTTAGAACTTCACCTCCCCGGAACATTGTAAACACAACTGGCTTTTCTCCACCACAACCTCCAATGCCACCTCCTTCACGTGCTCAAAGTCAGAGCGCCATTCCCAGTCTCACAGCCCCTATCCCAACCTCACAATCTCTCTCTATCGCACTCCCTACAATACAACAGCCTGCTCATGATCCTGCTCTCAAACTCGCTTGGGCCCGTGACGTCCTTCTCCTCGTAGATCGCACTCAGTATCCTAGCGTAACTGACATCCCACCGGGTCCAGTCACGATCACTGATCCACAACTACAACGTCTCCTCGCAACAGCAATCCCTCTTATACAACACCTTGCGAACGTAAATCATCAGCCACTTCCTCTGTTCGCAGCTGAAGCAATCTACCTTCGTGCTACCCTCGAATCAAGCGGCGCCTACCCAGATCGCATCCCACACAATCCCCGTCAGGCATTCCGCGATTTCGAAGCTGCTGCACGTGCAGGGTACGCCGCTGCATGGTTCCGTTTAGGACGCGATTACGAAAACTTTAACGATGCAGTCCATGCCAAGGACTGTTTCGAACGAGGCGCAAAGTTGAGCGTCGAGAGTTGTGTTTATGTACGTCTCTCGACTTCTTTTTTCTCTCATTCATCTTATAGGCAACTAGCGCATGGGAATGGCACATCTACTGGGTCAGCTAGGTCTCCCTCCAAACCCTGCTGCTGCCCTCCCGTTTTTGCAGCGTGCAGCTACACTCGCAAGTACAACCACTCCTCAACCTGCGTATGTCTACGCACTTCTTCTCCTCGGCGAATTCTCCGCTGCTTCGTTGCCTGCTTCTCTCCTACCCCAACCACCCATCGTTCAATCAGAGGCTCGCCGCCACCTCGAGCGCGCAGCCTACCTTGGTTTCGCACCAGCACAATACAAGCTTGGCCATGCTTACGAATTCGCCAGTCCCCCCTTCCCCTTTGACGCATTGCTCAGTGTCCAGTATTACTCCCTCGCTAGTCAGCAGGGCGAGGTCGAAGCAGACATGGCTCTCAGCAAGTGGTTCTTGTGCGGTGCAGAAGGCGCATTTGACAAGGACGAAAGTCTCGCCTTCACCTTTGCCGAAAAAGCTGCCAAGCGTGGCTTACCAAGTGCTGAATTCGCAATGGGGTATTATAAAGAGGTCGGTGTCGGCGGTGAAAAGGATATCCAGGAATCGATGAAGTGGTACTCCCTTGTATGTCTTCTTTTCAACTTCATTGATTGTTTCTCACCTGTTTCCAGGCTGCTGAACATGGAAACACAGATGCTGTAGAACGTATCACAGCCCTCAACCAAGTCATCCCACAAGCCCTTTCACGACAAGAACACGACACTATCACCGAAACCCAGCTCGTACGCAAGCGTACTCAGGCACGGGAGCGAACAAGTACACAGCCACGCATGAGCGCTGAAGATGGAAGACAAGTGATGGAAATGGCCAGAAAGAGCTCCATCGTACGACAGCAATCTCCTCCGCAGGCGCCTGCGCACATAACATCACTTGTTGAGAGCTCATCGCCTTCCGCTGTACCCCAGCAACTACCTCCACAACAGCAACAACAGCCACAGAGGCAGTTTGTGGGTCAACATCGGTACACGCTTGTTGACCCTGGATCTGGTGCGCCGCCGTCTCGTCAACAGTCACCGTCACGGCAACCGCAGCCGCAGCCGCAGCCACAACCACAACCACAGCCACAGCCTACGTATGCAAGAGCCGCTGGGAGACCGCCTGGTCAGAGGCAGGGGTCGGGGCCGCCACAGGGGCAGTCACCGCAGGGGCAGTCACCACAGGCTCAGGTCACACCGGGCGATAGAGCTCCTACTCCTCAAGGGGCTACACGTCCCCCAGGTCCAAAACCTCCCACAACATTTGCAGAGATGGGAATTCAAGGTGTAAAATTGGAGGAAAAGGAGTGTGTGATTATGTAGGTGCATCTATGAATGCATACCATTTTTGTCGTTTTTTTCGAACTCTTTCTTTCTTTCTGGCGATGTTTCATTTGTAAGTCTTACGTAGAATTGCACGGATGTAATGGCTAGATGTCATGTTTTCGTTTATACATGGTGTAATGCTATCATGGGCTTTACTATAATTATTGGCTATGTAGCCTGGCATCTGCGGCAATCAATGCTGCAGGATCCTCCATCAAGTCCGTACTTACGTCTCCGTCACGCATCCTAGATCTGATTAATGGCCGTCTAAATACGCGGATTGCTGGGGCATCATATGTATGACAGTTCAGACAGTCGAATAACCAAGCTAGGTCAACGCCAGTGTTAGCAAGAGAAAACTCCTCCTCATCGTAGCACGGAGTGGGAATGAGACCATCGCCAGGGAACTAAATCCTGTAAAAACCTTCGCATTCCCAGCACGGGTGTGCTCACGTATACCTATCTTCCATACTAATCAATAATCTGCCGACAGTAAAAAAAAGTTAGTGTATGGTTATCAGTAATGTATGCAAAGGAGGAAGGGAAGCGCGAGTGTCTGGTATACCAATGCAAGGATCGTGTGTAACGTGAAAGTGCAAAATCAAAACATGACGACTTGAAAGCAAATCACGGCGGTATCAAAAAAAAAAAACACAGAAGAGAAATTGTCCCATTTATCTTTTTGAAAATCAGAGATCAGCACCGACAGCGTCCACGACGTATAGGACCTGCTGTGGTCGGACAAATAGTCCCCTGGACTCGGATGTCGACAGGTCGGATGCTGCAGGCGACGAGCTTCGCATCCGCTTAGTACGGTCTATGCCTACGGTCAACTGGTCTCCTTCTCGTTTGAGTCCGCGATTATCCCTCCCTGATCCGTTCATCCAGTCCATCTTCCGCCGTCTGTGCGTCTGATAATCATCTGCACCAAACTCCCACTCTGACCCATTATTCCCAATATCGAAATAACGGATGCCGCCCCAGGACCCATCGTTCCATTGACGGCCGTCTGACGGGTCACCAACCCAGGCCTCCAGTGGTACTTCGATGCCGACCCAGGGTCCAAGCTCGCCCTCAACTTCACCAATATATCGTGCAAATGCCTTGAAACGTTTGCGCTTCGATGACACTATGCACGGAATGCCAACATCGAGCGTCGCACCACGGAGCTGAACTAAAACGTTCGCCTCTTCCGGGGAGGCAGATGATTGTTCGGGAGTCCGAACACTTGTAGTGATGGTGTCTGATGACCCGCGGCGGGTGAGTGCGGGAGGAGAGTCTGCTGCAGGAGATGCCCCATCCTGCGTCGGAGAGTTGGTACTATCGTCGAGCTTGATCGTCTCGCGGTCCTTGCCCTTGTCGAGGTCGCTAAGCGTGATGCAAGGTGATTTTTGAGAGTGGTTCTCGGTAACTCTGCTGAGCGGTTTCTTTTGTGAGGGTGTGGTGGTTTTGGCGGCTGTACGCTTGGTGGGAGTCAGCTTGGTAAATTCGGATGCTCCGCGACGGATGGATGTTCGTGTGGCGACGGCAGAGGTCATTGTTGTTGAAGTGGATGCAGTAGATGACAATCTTTCTCTCACAGGAGTGCCTCTGTTCGTCCCCACTGTCCTCGCGCTTACATTTGATATGGTGGATCCTCCAGACACCTTCCTTGAGCGAGGCGTGATCATTTCAGAGGGAGCAGTCCTGAAGGTAGCGTCGCTTATCGCACTCGACAAACTCGAATTCGGGCGAGGAGAAGATGGAATACGGAGCATGGACTCTCTCGTGGAGGAACGGACGGCGGAAACACGTGAACGCACCGAGGGTGCAATCGATTTTGGCTTTGGAGAAGGTGTATAAGAAGTGATAATTTTACTCAGCGCGGGCTTGGTCCCATTTGGCGTGGGACTGATATCGCCTGTACGAGGTGAGGGCGTCTTGCGCTGCATAACCTTCTCCGTCGTACTCGATCGTACGGATATGATGCTTTGCGACTCAGGTGTGAGTTTAGAGTCAGGGCGTATATCGCTAGGCTTGGGAATCGGAGCATTACGAGGAGACGAACGTCCAATGGTGCGCACACTCGCCGCATATGATGATGATGTAGGCTCACGGGCATGCTTGTGAGGGTTGTTGATATTACGGCTCAACACAGATGCGCGCAGCGAATGCACACTAAGTGTATCAGAGTCCGCATCTCCAGCTACGGATGACTTGCGGAAGGCAGTGCGCCGGAGGTGCGAGGGCTGAGCAGGTGATATGAGGTCTTCAACAGAGACTTCCAGTTCTGATAAAGATAAAGGTGTTTGAGGTATAAGAGAATAAGACGAGTACATAGAACGTACCCTGAGAGATCTCTTTAATGGCCCAGCCCTCAAGACCATCGAAACCACCCTGCTGGCGCGTGCCCATCCAACGCTTTCGGATGTACCGAATGAGATCTGCACGAGCGTCCTCAACTTGCACCCGGATGTGTGAGGTGGCAGAGAGCATGGCAGCATCTTCATCTGTTGGGTGCGGTCGTAGGAGGATATTCACAAGGCTCTGATCACATATTAGTATCATGCATGATTGACTTCACCTCAACCCTCACCTGATACATTGTTCCAGCGTGTTTCTCAACCATTCCGCGTTTGATCGCCTCCATCACCCAGGTAACCCTCTCGCCATCATCAAACCTCTCGCCATCTGCCTCCATGACCTGTAGCCAGTCATCCTGTTCGAAACACTCAGCACTCTGACTCACAAGGCATTCATCGATCGCCTTCCGCGCCTGTAGTATCATCTCCCGCGATGTATCTGCCCAGGCATCAATGACAGAATCAAGCTTCTTTATCGCGTGCTGTGCGGCGAATAACAGGGGAAATACATTCATCGGAGTCGTCCGCTTTGCCAGACCCTTGAGCAGGTTTTCCCGAATCTTCTGCGGAAGCGATGCGAATTCAGAGATGCACCAGCCTTCCCCGAACAAGCCTACGAGTGCCCGCCGCGCGCCCCGTTCCAAATAAGTGTTCTTGACATCATCTGCGAGCGCGAATTCGAGTACACGTGGTGCTCTCCGGGCGCACTGTCGACACCGACACCCGCCAGTACCCCACTTGGATCCCGTGATGCGCTCGTATTCGTTGAATTCGAGAGATGCATGAAACAGCCCATGAATCATCTCGTACACGATACGGGCCTGTATTTCAGCGACTAGCCCGTCCAAAGACAGGTACGTTGCCGACTTAAGGATCGCGAACGCGGTGTCCAGGTCGTAGGTACGGTGGGAGAACACGAGGGTGCCCGTGTAGATATACCCCAAAGTAAAATGGAGTGAGGCGGGGGTAAAAGGAGGTGAGGGGAGCGTGACTGTGATTGGTTCGCCAGGCTTTGCTGGCTGTGCCCAGTTCAAGAGCTGCGCATGGAAGTAGGGGGAGCGGGACACGAGAATGAAGCGGTGAGAAGAAAAAATAGCGATTGCTGGCTCGTGATTTGTCGAAGAAAATGTACCAGATAGGGCGATGCGCACGTCAGAATAGAGACGAGATCGCCACATAAACACAAGGTCTTTGCGCAGCTTGTCAACACGGTTCTCTTCCGCATCAACAAGCTCACGCGACTCTGAGGTATCAAAGAGAAATTCAAAAGCCTCGCCAAGTCCCTCACCCGTGTACAGATATTCCAACTCATTCGAAAACAGTGTTGTGCTGCTAATGGCTGGTATGCGCATGACGGCATTGAGGTTGGTGGAGGGTGAAGGGGATGATGAACGGTACGGAGATGGAGAACGAGACGTTTGGGCATAGTCCAGAGTAAGACTCAAGGACATGGCAGACTGTGCTGGCGCTGGGGAAGGACTAGTAGAGTAGGGTGTCGGGGAGGTGATAGGAGGGGGGCGGAATTGAAAGTAGCGTTGCTGAAAGGAAGGCGGGGCGCGTGCATAAACGATAGCTGAATTTTATTAGCAAAGACGCAATGGGCTAACTGTCATTATAACTACCTTTGTGGCCCCAAACTTCATCATGATCATCGTCATTATCGTCGGATTGGAGTTCCCAAACGACATCTGCAAATCGATCCTTTGCTTGGTGAAAGAGGTTGGTAAGATCATTACGCCAGGCTTGCGTGGACTGTCTTGTTGCTTCCTGGACAGTATATGATGGCATAGAACTAACACCAACCATCGCCATCGCCAGCAACGACGAATACGACGAGCAATCGAATGGAAGCGGTGTGGAGAATGCTCACAAAAGTTTGCAAAGCACCAGAAACACGTGTGGTTAGGTAAGGTACTTATCAATTTGATGTAAACAAATCAATATATTAACTCCAGCCTACGAAGGACATCACCACGCCCAAAACGAACTCCAAATCAAAACAAATCCTCCTCTTCGGGCTTCCAATTCTTCGCCTGATCCCAATACCCCGCCAACCTCTGCCCCAAAGCCTCCTTAGCCATCGCATCAGTGGGGCACCCCTTAGGCTTGAACGAATTAAACGCCCGATCTCTAAGTTGACCCTCCCACACGAGATAACACGCATTATTTTCGAGGGAGACTATTTCTTCAGGTTCTGCGGATTTCCGAGGACCTCCAGGACCAGCAGCATCATTAAAAGCGGCACCGTTGGTTTCGGTGCCTTCTTCGCTTGCGGTATCGAGGATTACATCCTCTCCACCGCGCGGACGCGCAGCCTCGGTCCAAGCGATACGATGAAGCATCAACCGCTTGTAGTTCTGAATGAACTTGGAAGCACCTTCCACATATATCATGCTAAAGACCGGATTGAAAATGCACACGCCCGTTAAGTTGAGTTGTTCGGCGTTTTTTCGAACTTTGAATCGGTGGGAGGGGTCTGTGAGCGTTTTGACCCTGTTGCACAAATTGAAGGTGGAAGTGAGAGCAAAGTCAGCTTAGATAGTACCGACGAGCGAGGGACACGCACTTGAAAACAGCCCCAACGATACCCTTCTTCTCCTGCTCAGATTTCTTATTCTCGGTCTTCTCTCTGCGTTGTTCATCGGTGAGCTTACGTTCTGCATTTGCCTTTTCGTGCGTGTGTTTTCTCATCGCAACTTCTCTGCGCACACGGGCTTCAACACGTGTGGGGTCTTGGACTGCATCTGATGTCAAAACTTTCATGAGGTTCGACAGGCGAACTGTGAGAAATGAATCGTGAGCAAAGGTCGGAAGGGTTAAAGAGGTTGAGACAGGCCTTTGGGTGGGTCGGGTGGGATGAGACCCATACGAATACGATCACGTTTATCTTGTCGTTCGGCTTGCCGGCGCTGCTTTCGCATCTTCTTTGTCTCCTGTAGTGCCATGTTAGATTCTACACACCCATACAATACATATATATATATGCCTTTTTGGTCAACATAAGCGGTTTCAAGCCAATCTTGTGTTCTTCCATTGGAGCTGGGATGGGAATAGGGTGCTGGACATACAACGTGACTGGCGAATCCTGAGTTCGGATATTGAGGTGAGAAAATCCGAGGGAAAGGTCATCGTAGGTTTTGTTGGGCAGTAGCGCTGCGTCCCACCATTCCACTGTGGGGGGAGGTTCACGCTGGGAGCCATGGTCGGGGATGAAATGAACAGTTGAGTAAACACCCACCTTGATATTCTTCTCCAGAGTCTCGAACTCTGAATCAAGTCCAGCTTTACGCGCGCTCTCGGCAATGCGTTGCTTGAGCGCCTCGAGCTGCGCCTCCTGACGCATTTGTTCGGCGAGCTGTTGATACTTGCCCTGGGGATTGAACCGGAAAGTGCGACCATGACGCTCCTTTGGGGCGCCTTCAAAACCACTGTCTTTGGCTGCGGTCGAACTGGAAGCGTAGGGATTGGCTTTGACTTCGACGATGGGTACAGGGGTTGGCGCTGGAGGAGGGGTTGGGGCATTTCGAATGTTTGCCTTGGAAAGGCGTCAGTTTCAACGATATGCATGAGGGAGTCTTGTGCACCTTGATTGAAGCAAACTTGGGCTGCATTGGTTTGTATCGATCCTTCTTCGACTGGGGTGCGGCAGGAGCGGTATCAAGGAGAAGGGGATGAGCAGTCATCTTCAAGCCAGCACCTTGCTGGGCTGGTTCGACGGGCTTGTTCCTCTTGCCCAATTGAGGCACCGACTAAACGCATGATGTGGAAGCAAGAATCATTAGAGTGTGAGAAGACTGACCATGTACGGGTTGTCCTTGACCGCAAGCTTCGTCTGTGCCTCTGCCACACGGCGCTTGGCCTCTGCAACCTTACGAGCGAGGTCTTCGGTATTCTGAAGTGGTGTCCCTGGACCTGGTGAGGGGCTGTCTATCTGGACTGGTAGAGCCTTTGCTAGACCTGTGATGCCGCCTTTCATGGCTGCGACCTTTGCCGCAATCTCTGCTCGTTTCTGGGCGATGAGAGCATCTCCGGATAGCTGTTGAGAAATAAATGAGTAATTGAATGAGCTTGAGAGAGAGATGCACTGACGGCTACTTGGGCGTTGCTCCCATTAGAGTGGGCCTGTAATGAGCAAAGGGTTATAGAGACATGTGAGAACGATGTAGCAGGTGAATTCACCTTAAAGAAAAGAAAGTTAGACTCACAAGATCACTAGAAACAATACATGAGCCAATTAAGCATGAGTGCTAGTAGGACTGACCAACCTTTTTTGTTTTTTTGTTAACGAAGACTCGCCATTGCCGTCAAATGCTCGCTTGCTCATCGTTCGTGGTGGCAAGCAGAAGCGACGCGCTCAGTTCAATATCACTTAACACAGATTAACCCCTTCTTGAAGGGGTCTCCAGAGAATTATGGGATTTGCAACTCACACCGAGTGGCCACGGAGTTTGAATTCCCATTGGGGAAGTCATAGTACATTTGATACATGGGAAAATAGGTCTCTGCCCCCAGTGCCTCCCATGAATTGTCAGCATGAAACAAGTGAAGGCAACACCTAGATAGGTCTAATAATCAAAAACATGGGGTAGGTTCAGTTTCCATTACAGTATCTTATCACTTAATTTATTTTGTAGATACTCCAGAGACATCAGAAAATAGCAGAACAAAATCACCACCATAACCCCAATACTTGGGACACAATCATGAATGTCATTGACCAATTAGATATCAATGGTATGAGTGGGGATGAAACCAATACCTTATGCAGGGTGATACCAAAGATTACAAGGCAAGTTGGCCTTCCATGGCGCAGTCCTGACATCACTCAGCTATTGCATGCTGTAGAAGTCCTTCACATCAGCTACTTACGAAGAAAATATGACTGTCCCTATTGGGAACTCATCCCTTTCATGCATTTTGGAGCAGAAATGCACAGCTCACAATTTCATTGTGATTCAGAAGCTTCCATGCAATTGATATGATGATGACTGATATAATGCCAATTTGAGTAGTGCCCATGCATTCCTGGGGGTTCACAAGCCCTTTAAATCCCTCATTTGGAGCCCTATCACTCTTACTCATAAATTTGTTCTTATATCTGATGTGGGCAGGTTAGAGGTCCACTTGTACATATTAACATATATTTGTAAACTTGTCACATTGTAAATTTAATATTTCACATATTATCCATCTGAGTTTTGCTGAATTTTTGAATATTTATAATGAGTACCCCACTAAGTGGGGTACTCATATGACACACATATATTTTTGGGCCATTGTCAAAGGCTAACTCTTGGACATATCCATGTACATATTTGTAATTTTTCTGCCCTCTGCACACCCAACATAGCTGCACTGTGTCCCATTGTCCAATTTAATGCATAGTTCAAATTTATCACATATTTGATCATGCAGCGTGTATACAATCTATATCTGATCTGTGTAGTCAACATATACTGTTGAGGTTGAACAAACCTAGAACACGTCAGCCATATTGGAGATTACATAACCCAGCAGTAATACAAAGTATATATAACCTGCACAGATATTTCTGAATGATTAAGCAATCTTAGCGCCCACTATTGTGTGCCTCTAAGCTATATTTTCATTCTTACTTGTGAATCAAATAATATTATATCTATCATAATCTCAAAAGGTTATGAGCCCTGTTGTATCGCATATTGACCCTCAGAAATCAGAAATAACCAAAACTGCTGCACAAATACTCCTATTTAAAATGACTGATCCTAACAATCCAAACCCAAGCATGGATGTTGATGCTCATGCCTCTTCATGTCCTGCCATTAACCTCGGACCTGTCACATCGTATAAAATCAAGGCCCTAAATGACATAAATTGGATCACGTGGAAAGAAAGGATTGAAACTATCCTCAACCTTCACGGAGTCCATGGGCACATTGATGGGACCTCTAAAAGGCCCACAATGGACAAGGATGAGATCGCATACTGGGATAAACAGGATTATGTGGCACGGACACTCATCTTGAACAATATCAAGGATGATAAAGTGGTCCATGTGTCATGTGTGAAGACCATAAAGGAGGCATGGGAGAATCTAAAAACAATCCATGAGATGAGGAGTCAGTCAAGTGCGTTAATGGTGAAATGCACCTTTTATGCTATGCAAGCCGAAGAAGGCTGCAATATTATGGAACATGTTACTGAGATGGTGAATAAGCATAACCAACTCAACACTATGGGGTGCGAGATACCAGATGCAGAGTTCAAAGCCATTCTCATAATGTCATTACCAAAATCATGGGGAACTTGGACTGCATCCTATTTAGGGGTGCATGCCGAGAAAATCAAGTCTGATAAAATAAAAGGATATACTTCCCAGGAGTTAATCTCCATCATTATCAACGAGTATAAATGTCGTAAAGGTGAGGATACCCAAGAAAAGGGATTCTATGCCAAGGCCGAGAAAAGTGGGAAGAAATGGAAGATCGAGAAGCACATGGAAATGCCTAAGAGCCGAGCAAAGTGTAATGTCTGCGGACATAATAATCACGCGACAGATGATTGCTGGTTCAAGGGCAAGCCAAAGTGTATGTCTTGTGGAAAGTTCAGACACAAGACTAAAGACTGCTGGGGGAAAGTGGGACCATCATCCCAAAAGCCCTGTCAGCAGAAAGAGTGTGCCAATATTGCGAGAGATTCACAGGAAGACGAGCCTATGGAAGAGGATAAGGCTTTTGTAACCAAGAATGTATCTATGAATGAAGACACTGAAAAGCGTTGTCTTCTTAGATAGATGATCTATAGATAAACACCTATAAAACAAATATCTCCACGGTCAGCGATTCAGACAAATACCAATGACTGATAACGTGGTCGTTCGTGGGTGGCTAGTTGTATACTACCCAAGGTATGTTCAGCTAAGGATA